TTGCAAGCGCTTGGTGCAACGCATGAGCGAGACGGACGCGGACGACGCCCACAGGGTCTGGATGCGGTCGACGGATCGCGCGACGACCAGCCCGGCCAAGGGGCGCGTGGAAGGCAAGTTGCTCGGCCGCCCTGGGCATCGGGCGTGGCGAGATCAGGCTGCTTGATGGGCTTGGCGTTGGGGTTTGGTGTTATTGCTGTTCTGATGCTACTGTTGTTGTTGTTGTAATTGTCAGTATTGTTGCTTTTGCCATTATTATTTTTGCCATTATTGTTGTTTTAGTTATTGTTGTCTTTGTCATTACTGTTTTTTGTCATTATTGTTGTTTTTGTCATTATTGTTGTTTTTGTCCTTATTGTTGTTTTTGTCATTATTGTTGTTTTTGTCATTATTAGATTTGTCATTATTGTTGTTTTTGTCATTATTGGTTTTGTCATTATTGGTTTTGTCATTATTGTTGTTTTTGTTATTATTGTTGTTTTTGTCATTATTGTTGTTTTTGTTATTATTGTTGTTTTTGTCATTATTGTTGATTTTGTCATTATTGGTTTTGTCATTATTGTTGTTTTTGTCATAATTGGTTTTGTCATTATTGTTGTTTTTGTCATTATTGGTTTTGTCATTATTGTTTTTTTTTTCATTATTGTTGTTTTGTCATTATTGTTGTTTTGTCATTATTACTGTTTTTGTCATTATTGTTGTTTTTGTCATAATTGGTTTTGTTATTATTGTTGTTTTTGTCATTATTGGTTTTGTCATTATTGTTGTCTTTGTCATTATTGCTGTTTTTGTCATTATTGTTTTTTTTTCATTATTGTTGTTTTGTCATTATTGTTGTTTTGTCATTATTACTGTTTTATCCTTCCTCCTCAAACTATCCTATCCTCCTAAATCTACCCTCCCTCCTCAAACATCTTTCCTCCTAAAACTACCCTTCCTGCTCAAGCTATCCTATCCTCCTAAAACTTCCCTTCCTCCTCAGTGCATCCTTCCTCCTAAAACTACCCTCCCTCCTTAAGCTATCCTATCCTCCTAAAACTACCCGTCCTCCTCAAGCTATCCTATCCTCCTAAAACTATCCTCCCTCCTCAGTGCATCCTTCCTCCTAAAACTACCCTCCCTCCTTAAGCTATCCTATCCTCCTAAAACTACCCTTCCTCCTCAGAACATCCTTCCTCCTAAAACTACCCTCCCTCCTCAGTGCATCCTTCCTCCTAAAACTACCCTCCCTCCTTAAGCTATCCTATCCTCCTAAAACTACCCTCCCTCCTCAGTGCATCCTTCCTCCTAAAACTATCCTTTCTGCTCAAGCTATCCTATCCTCCTAAAACTATCAGTCCTCCTCAGTGCATCCTTCCTCCTAAAACTACCCTCCCTCCTTAAGCTATCCTATCCTCCTAAAACTACCCGTCCTCCTCAAGCTATCCTATCCTCCTAAAACTACCCTCCCTCCTCAGTGCATCCTTCCTCCTAAAACTACCCTCCCTCCTTAAGCTATCCTATCCTCCTAAAACTGCCCGTCCTCCTCAAGCTATCCTACCCTCCTACAGGCGAGATCCCGCAGTGGCTCGAAGGAAGTCTGTACAGAGATGGCCCCGGAGTCCTGAACATCGGCGACACTTGGTACCACCACGTGTTCGACGGCATGGCGGTCCTGCACAAGTTCTCCATTAAGGTGAGGCTGTTGAAGGGCTGTGGCTATGGTGGTGGTGGTGATGATGGTGGTGGTGAGGGTTTGATGTTGGGAAATGCGTGGGTGAGTGTAGCGGTGGTAATGTTGGCGATGGTTGTGATGATAGTGGTGGTGATGAAGATGGTGGTGATGAGGATTTGATGTTGGGAAATATGTGGGTGAGTGTAGTGGTGGTGATGTTGGCAATGGTGGTGATGGTGATGGAGGTGGTGGTGGTGAGGGTTTGATGTTGGGAAATGTGTGGGTGATGGTAGTGGTGATGGTGTTGGCGATGATGGTGGTGATGGTTAGGTGTTAAAAGGTATGTGTGGTTCTAATGGTGATGATGATAGTGATGGTTTTATGTCCAAAAGACATGGATAGGAATAAATGATGATGGTGGTGGGCACGTGTGGTGTTGAATGGCGTGGTTAGGTTCAAATGACGATGAAAGGGTAGATGTTCCGCAAAGCTTGGATAAGACGTTCTCGGAGGATTCTGTGAAATAAAGATGATGCTGAAGATGGTGATTCGTAGGTGGTGATGATGGTGATGTTCTGTGTTATGGTGAGTTTATGTAAAGATGTGGAATCGCTGAGATGAATAGCAATGGTGGTGGCTAGTCCGGATTACGTTAGATATCTGAAATGCATAGACAGTTAAAATGAAGATTGTGATGAGAGTGATGATAGTAATGATGCATTTCGTCAGGATGAGATCATGTTCGGATAAAATGAACATGATACGAATTGATGATAATGATGAATAAGTAGTCTTGATGAGCTTTCAAAAAGTTATAATCATATTGATGTTTTCTATTAAAAAGGGCACGATGAAGGTAAAGTTCTCCACAAGGACTACATTATCTTAGACTATAAAAAAGGAGAGTTTTTTATGTATATTATATATTGAACTATTTATTTAGTTGTTTTTCATCACGTACTTGAGATTGTATCTTGAGAATAAATATTTGATTCATTTCTCTTTTATTTTTGCAATTTATTTCTTCAAACCTTTTTCATTACTTATTATTAACAGTGGTTATTACTTATTATCATTTGTTATTACTTATCATTATTAACATTATCATCATCATCATCATCATGAATTTTACTATAATCATTATTATCACCCTTGTCATTGCTATTGATGTTATCAATAGTAGTATTATCATCATCACCATTATACCCACCAACTCTTTTGTCATCACCATCATCATTCTCCTCCTTCTCCTCCTCATCACCACTCTAACTCTCGTATCTATGATTGTCTTTCTTTTCTCCCTCATCCTCCTTCTCCTTCCTTGCTCTCCATCGCCATCCCTCATCCTTCTCCCCGTCACACGAACTCTCTTATCTAAATTCTTTCCCTGTTTGTTCTTTTTTTTTCTTTTCATCGCCATGCTTCTCCTCCACATCTTCTTCGTCACCGTTCTCTTCTTCATCTCCTATTTATCTTTTCCCTTTTATTCTTTTTCTTTTCATCGCCATTCTCCTCCTCTATATCATCAGCATCATTCTTTCTTTCCTCCTCATCATCACTCCCTTAATTCTGGTATCTATATTTATTCCCTTTATTTTTCTTTTTATCTCGTTAACCTAGGACGGCGCGCGCGCGCGCGCGCGTTTGTATGTGTCTACGTGTGTGTGTGTGCGTGCTCGTGTGCGTGCGTACGTGTATGTGTCTGTGAACATAATTCACACCTACATGTATATCTATAATTCCCCCATGCTCCCTCCCCCAGGACGGCGAGGCCACGTACAGGTCCCGCATCCTCGAGAGCGACTCCTACAAGAGGAACTCGGCGGCGAATCGCATCGTCGTCGACGAGTTCGGGACGCGAGGCTACCCCGACCCCTGCAAGACCATCCTGCAGAAGTACGTGTTGCAAGGCTGGTGTTTGAGGGGGGATGGGGGCCAAAGAAAGAAAGAAAGAAAGAAACAACACACACGAACACGCACACGCACACACACACACAAGCACTTACGGAAATATACACAAATCGGTACACACTCAAACCATCTCTGTATAAACAGTATATAGCAATAACAATATGATAAAATCACTATATGTAACAATATAACAGAATATCCAAGTTTACCAATATAACAGAATTTCTATGTATCGTTCCAATAGGAAAGAAAATCTATACGTAACGTTATAAAATTTATATAAAATATAACTCTGATACTCAACAGTAAAACTATATAACTATAACAAATTTCACCATACAACGCGTTTATCAACTCTCTAACAATTTCCACCTTTTCGTAGATTCATGAGCACTTTCGCCGGACCAGACCTTGACGGAATGACAGACAATTGTGCCGTGAATGTCTGTTTCTATGGCGATCAGCTGTTTGCCATGACAGAGACCAACAAAATGAGGAGAGTTGATCCAGATGATTTAAAAACCGTCGGAGACAAGGTTAGAGGTTGAGTGGTTGTGTTTTTTTTTCTTGTGTTTAGATTGTGATTGCGAGGTATTAATTATGTGTTTATTCCCGTTGTGCGAAGATGAGGGATGAAGAAAGAAATCCTTACTGTAGAAGTTATCATGTTATTTATAGTCCTGTTTCGGAGACAAAACAGAATTATGCTAAATTACTTCTTTTACTACTAGTTGTACCTTGAAGTTATAATAAATTCCTACACAATGGGTATACATTGCCAAACTAAAATAGATAATAAATAAATAAAACGCACATACGGAAATGTAGGCCTATTTTTTATTTGCTATGATTTTTTTGTTTTTCTAATCGGACGATTCATTGCGAAATGAAATCCTTGAAAAATACAAAATACATACAATAAAAAACCTATAAACCACAAATACTTATCTTTTTCGTAGTATCACCAACACCTCCCATCTGTATCCAGTATTTAACAGCATAACTACTCAATCCCACAGACCAACATCACCAACTATGTGGCCGTCAACATGGCCACGGCGCACCCCCATGTGGACCCCGACGGCACCGTGTACAACATGGGAAATTCCTTCATGGGGGCCAAGGGACCCACCTACAATGTCATCAAATTCCCTCCTAAGAAGACGCTGCCTTCTGGTATGTGGATCTATTTATTTTTTCATTATCATTATATTCTTACATTCGATAGTGGAAGGAGTGAAATTAACTGTCAATAGCTTTATGTTGATAAATTTCTGTCGATGTATATGTAAAAGAGAGGGAGATGGAGAGGAAGATAGAGATAGGTAAATAAGAGAGAGAGAGAGAAAGAGAGAGATGTAAGTGGATATGAATACTCTTAAATTATCATATGTATCCAAATACATGTGCGTAACTCCTTTTCTGTACGTGACTTGACCCCCCCCCACACACACACACCAACCAGGAAAGGTCCTGAATTCGTTCGAGCAGGCGTCCGTGGTGGCGTCGATCCCGTGCCAGTGGAAGATGCGTCCTTGCTACTACCACTCCTTCTCCATCACCGACAACTACTTCATCCTGGTGGAGCAGCCGCTGGGCGTGTCCGTGCCGAAGCTCCTCGTCAACCACTACCGGGGAAAGTCCTTCATGCAGGCTATGGACTGGATTCCGGACGCGAAGGTATGCGGACGCGGCCCGGTCGCCGCCCCTTCTTGAGGCACAGATTTTAGTAGAAGCGACACTGAGATCCGATGCCACGTGCACGGACTACAAAAGACATAATTTCCACGGTAGAATGCATTAAGACAAACAATTTCCACGCTAAGAAAGCATTAAGACAAACAATTTTCACCCTAAGAACACATTAAGACACAAACAATTTCCAGGCCAAGAACGCATTATGACAACAATTTCCATTCTAAGAACGCGTTAAAACAAACAATATCCACGCCAAGAACACATTCAGACAAACAAATTTCAAGCCAAGAACACATTAGAACACAGTGTCCACGCTAAGAACACATTAAAATGAACAATTTCCACCCTAAGAACGCACTACCTCTCGCCCCGAACATAAATCAACTTTCGGGAAATGGTTTGATTCTCAGACGAAGTTCCGCGTGGTCAGGCGCAGCGACGGCCACGTGCTGAAGGCCGACTACCAGGCAGACACCTTCTTCACCTTCCACACCATCAACGCCTTCGAGGAGGACGGGCACCTGGTGGTCGACCTCTGCTGCTTCGATGACGGCGCTGTGAGGACCACCTTTTCTTCTGTCTCTCTAATTGTTTCTCTGTCTCTGTTTCTGTCTCCCTCTGATATATTATACATATATTATATATCATATTAGATATATTATATATATTATATATATCATATATATTATGTCTATTATGTATATTATATATATAATATATATGATATGTATGATATGCATGTATATGTGTATGTATATATATATATATATATATATATATATATATATATATATATATATATATATATATATATATATATATATATATATATAATTCTTTCTCTCTCCCGTATTTTCAAGTTAATTCGAATATTTTCAAATATTTCTCGTTAGACTAGCTACACTAAACACACTTCCATAGACCCACCATTCACGTGTCTACATTGTAGGACCTATACGTGTACTAACTCTTTTTATTAACCGACGCCCTTTCACCCTTACTGAGTAGGTAGTGAACCAGATTTGGCTGGAGAATATTCTACAACCGACGGAGGCTTTCAACAAGGCTCTGCAAGCGACGCCCAGGCGGTATGTTCTTCCTCTTAATATTCAGGTGAGGACCGTCCTGAAAAGTTGATTGGGTTATTGTTAGTATTGTTATTATCACTGGTTTTATTTTTATAGTTATTACTATTATTGTTATTGTGATCATTATTGTCGCTGTTGTTGTTATGATCATTGAGGTTGTTATTAGTATCATTAGCATCATTATTACCATCATTATCACCACCAACACTATCATTACTATTACTACATTACTGCCATTACTGTTAGCATTGGCAGTGCCATTATCATTACCATTACCACCACCACCTCCTTTCTCCAACCCCCTCTCCCTCCCCCCCCAGCAATCGAACTCGGGGGAAAACCTGGTGACTCTCGCGTCCACCAAATGCACGGCGACCAGAGAAAAGAGCGGCGCCATCTATTGCCGGCCGGAGGACCTCTCGCAACACTGTATGGAGATGCCGAGAATCAATTATAAATTCAACGGCAAGAAATACCGATATAGCTACGGTTTCATCCCGACGAAAGGTCTCAACTGCGGCACGGTGGGTAACCTTTGGAATTAATTTTGATGTGGCTTCGTGTTCGAAAGGTTTATTTTTCGTGTTTTAGGATTAGATATACACTAATCTTAGCGAAAGGATACATTGTTATATTGAAGATATTTCGTCAGAGATGAGTGGTTTAGATCTTGGAAAGTCCAATGTTAGATATAATTGAATTAAGCAAAATATAAAGATCGTTAAGCAGTTCAGCCTAAAACATTTACTATAAAAAATAAGACATAAACATAGATATGGGCACTCCTTCCCTCCGCTTTATTAAATAATTAGCAGGTGATTACAGTAATTTGCTTCCACCCACTTAACTGAATTAATTAAGAGGTAATTACAGTAATGTTGCTTGACATTCCTGTCACTTAATTAGTTAATTAAGAGGCAATGACAGCAAATACATTTAACTTTCCTTCCACAGAAATCAAACTAATCGAGAGTTAATTACAGTAATATCACAGTAATAGCACTTACCATTCTTCCCTTCCACCTAGTGTAATCACAGCTTATCACAGCTGTGGCACTCACCACTGAGGCAATTGCAGCTTTAAGGACATGTAAACTTCCCTTCCTCCCACTTCATCAAATTAATTAAGAGATAAATCACAGTAACACC